TGAGGGATGGAGGCAGGGCAGCAGTTACAAGTGCCCAGCATCCCTCTGTGCTCTTCAAGGGATGTCCCGAGGGGAAAGGCTGGGCTTCCTCCACAGCCTCCAGGCAGTGGGAATTTTGAGCATCTGCCCACAAACGGGAAATTCTTTTAAAGATTTTATTTTTAGAGAGAGGAGAAGGGAGGGAGAAAAAGATGGAGAGAAACATCAATGTGTGGTGGCCTCTCACTCACCCCCTACTGAGGACCTGGCCCGCAACCCAGGCACTTGCCCTGGCTGGGAATCAAAGTGGCTACTCTATAGTTCTCAATCAACTGAGCCACACCAGCCAGGGCAAAGCCATGATTATATTTTAAAAGGCTCACTCAGTCACTGTTTGGAAAACAAATGGTTTCCCTGCTGCCAGTCTGCTCCATTGTCAACAAAGCAGAGGAAATCTTGTAAAACACCCCCGGACACTGACTCCCAGACAAATAAAACGTAACCACCACCACACTACATTCCGAGGGACTGTTCAGAGCAGCTTCATTTGTAAACAACCAAAGTGTCCTACAACAGGTGAGCGGTTAAACAAACTGTGGCACACAAAGCCATGGAATACTACTCAGCAATAAAAAGGAATAAACTATTGATACAACAATAAAGATGGACCTCAGGGGCATTAAACTAAGTGGGAGGTCTCAAAAGATCATATATTGCAGGATTCCATTCATATAACTATAGTTACCAAACAGGACCTGTTGGAGGAAGTGGATGAATGCTAATGGGGACCTCTCTGTACTTACTATCTGAGCAACTTCTTGTGAATCTGTTAACTATTTCAAAATTAAACATTTTTTACAGACAGCGTCATAGAAAATAAATTGTGTTTCAGTGGAAAAGTATGCACTGTCCAGATACAGCACACCCTCCTGGTTATCTGATTCCACTCTTTTCATTGCCTTTGAACTATTTTTACAACTTGGAAAGTTTAGATTGGTATCTGATAGACTTGTCTGGTAGCAGTTCCCTTCCCCTCTTCACCCATAACTCTCATAAAAAAAAAACATTTATGCATTCAATTGAACATTCCTTTATTTCAAATAAGTCCGTGTTTTTTGACTTTCCCCTTTGAATAATATGAGGGCAGCGAGGAAATTACAAAAAACCTTTAGCGTCCATTCACTTATCTGTCTGTATGAGAATCATGGCTGCACCTTTTCTGACAATTGCCTTTTGGGAACATAAATCTCATTCCCCAGTGTTACACCTCCAAGGTTCTCATTGGATTTAGGACTCCCAAACATTTCCCTGGGTATACGGCCTGGTCCTAGCCCGCCCCCTGGGCCTCATCTCCTCACTCAGCCCCACACTCAGCCCCTTGCCAGCATACTAGGAACATTCACCATCCTCTCGGCTTCCTGAGAACATCACGTTTTGTTCCTGCTCATGGCTCCTGCACCTGCTGTCCCTCAGCCTGGACTGCTTGTCTCATGGATTGAAATAATCTGCTTCATAGGCTTAAGTAAACTCTCAGCTCAACTGTGCCACCCCAGTGAGGTCGTCTCAACCACTGCATCAAAAGTAACATCCCCACCCTAATGTTTTCATCAGTTCTATCTGAAACAATAATCATATTATGTATTATATGTTTTAGATATTAGTATATTTATTATATAAGTATACTACATTATATTTCTTATAAGTTATAGGGACATATTCACTACAGATTATATAAACATACTGTGTTTATTATCTGCCCACTCCCATTCCAAAATAGTAGGATTTGGGAATCTGGTTCTGTTATATACCCCAGAGCTTAGAAAGGCACCTAGTGTACAGCAGACATTGAATAATCCCCTGAGTGAATAATGCATCTGGAAGGAGAAAGGTGCCCATCACTGGAGGCTTCTAAGCACGGTTTACACAACCACTTAACGGGGCCATAGAGAAGCTGTTGGCATAAACCTGGTCATAAGAAGGAAAGACCGTTAAGGCCCCTTCTAGCATGATGACCAGTCATGTTTCTGCTGTGCAATGGGAAATTCACAGGAATATTCCTCATTTTCCACCAAAGGACAGTATGCACACCCGTGTTCCAGCTGCAATATCATTTCAGCATTAAAATGTTGAAGCTAATCAGACATTTAATTTCAAAGTAGAAGGTCATTATCTTGTCACAAAATTTTATTCCAATTACTTTTTTTTCCTATTATACGAAATGAATTAAAAGTAGCACAAAACATTGGGAGATCAAACAGTCAATCAGAAGCTCATTAAATATCATTGAAATTGGTGCAATAAAAAGCATTTCCCATGGCTGACATTATTTAAAAGCTATATTCTGGATGGCTCAAGAAATTGACAAGCTGCCAATCAAAAAATCACCCGGTCCATAAATAGCCACTTGACTTTTAATAGTTCACTATCTATTTTTCTGAGATAAAGAGTAAATATCTAAAAAGATCTGAAGCAGGAGTGCAATTGCCATCCTATCAGCTCCTATGAGACCCTAAGAAGATATCAGCAAAGTCACCATCTGATAACTTAGACCAGCGATTTTCAACCGATGTGCCACAAGAATTTTCACAACATGCACCACCTGACTATTTGGTCAGGGGCACTGACGTCTTTTCCCTTAGACTGTCAAATGAGAAAAAAAACACGACATCCCACACAATAGCCATCCAGTGTTAATGAATCAAAATTATCCTATTTTTGGTCAGATCGGCAAAAATATATTTTTTGGTGTGCCACAGAATTTTAGTCATTAGTTTATGTGTGGCTGAGATGAAAATGGTTGAAAATCACTGATTTAGGCTATCACTTAGAGAAAGAGGCTTACAAAGTGCGACCAGTGATTTTATAAACACTTCAAAACATACATGTATTTAGATTACTCAACTAATACAATCCCAGGCAGGAATTAGTGGGTCAGTTGCAATTTTAAAATGGAGTTCAACTCCACACTTGGAATAAATGCCCACTTTATTTTCTAAAGAGTGATTATTAAACACTTCATTTTTCTGTGGACCCAGACATAGGTGACAGCTAGCGTGAGGATCTGAAAGCTAATCCTTTTTAACGTTATAATATTCTTCCTCTAGAAACACTCCCCCTCCCACCCCCACTTTTTTAGAAAAGTTAAACCACTAATTTTTAGCTTTTAGTTTTATAGAAACAACCAGTGTTTGACATACAGACTGGCAGGCCCTTTCAGTTGCTAAAATATAACACAAGTACTATTCCCAGTACTACTCTCTTAAGGTGATGGAGGTGATGGGATGATGCAAATTAAAAATACATAAGCAAAAGAGAAAGAACCCTACCCGCCAGCCACCACGGCTCACACACACACTGCCACTACCCTAATTTCTTTTCAAAAGCCTGGACTTACTGGCAAATTATCTGGGAGTAAAGTGGGAGGGAAAGATTTCAATGCAAAAGTCAGAACTGCTTTATAGAAAGAAAAGTGTGGGGAGGTTTGTTATCATTTATTTCCTCCAGTATATCATTCAATTTCAGCTGTCTCACATCTCAGGAGGAGCTCCTCCATTTCTCACTTATGTGCCTAAGAAATGTCTTTCTGGCATCTCATTCTCTCTCCCGTCTTTCACCAGCATTTCATTATTTTTTAACTGTCCCTCTCATCCCTGTCTCCCTTTTTCCTAGTGATCCACGTGTCCTCATTTAGCAGTTTTCAGAAGCCAGGGAGAAATGTTGCAAATAATGTTAAATATGATTAATATCTTGAATTCCTTGAAATATGACATGCATGAGTTACAATGAAACCTCTTTTATTTCCCCATGAAATGCTTTTGCATAATGAGAAAGAAAATGTCCTCTATGCCCTAATCAGCCCTGACAGTTCCTGGACTCCCAAATACTTTTATTTATGGCATTATTTATTTCATCTCTAATAAATGGAGGTTGGGGAGAAACCACAGCACAATCGGAGGAGGTTGCAGGAGACAGGGAGCCTATGTAGGGTGGAGGAATATAGCAGCTGAACCAGGAGAGAAAGAAGGCTTCCAAAGGAAGGGAGGGGCTGTGGGAAATGAGAGGCCAAAGACAGGAACCCCCAGAAAAAGAAAATGGGTCACTTTCCCAAGACTAAAGGGAAAGCTATGAAAACGAATGTAACTCAAGAGTGTAAAGATGAGGGTTTTACATCATGGAAGGAGATGTACCCAGAATTCAAACCTGGAGAATGAAGACTGAAGGCAGGAAAAACAAACCTGGGAAGGGCGTAGCTGGTATTGAAGTTCGCCTAAGGGAGGGGCGATCTGCTCTAAAAAGTGCCTGGAGGCCAGGAGAGGCCTCCAGATTTGAAGATATCTCTACCCCCATGAGACCCTCTTTCAAATGACAGAGGCTCACTAAGGAAATTGTGTGGCCTCCAGAAACCATGGCCTGGTGGCCCCAGACGCAGAGGGGAACTAGCTGGACAATACGGAAAGTGAGAGAGCTCTCGGGGCCGCATGGGTCCTACAAGCATACATATCAAATGACGGTTTTGAAAATATCTAATCGCCACCTCAAAGGGAGGCTTCAGATCATGCTTTACCCTCAATTGCTCAGAGTGTCTATATGCTATGAGAAGAAGTGAGAATCTGAATTCAAATGCCCTAGATGCATCTGTGTGAATGTGGGCTATTTCCTCGAGGAACCTCGGTTTTCTCATCTGTACAATGGGGGAAATGATTTTGTTGTGCACTCGCAGAGCCCCTATGGGGAACTAACCAAGTAATGTGAAAATCCAATGCCCTGTGCACCCTTAGGATGTGCACGAACTCGAAAGCCACTTGTTGGGTATGGGCAGAACCCCGATCGAAAAAAATGCACCGCGCCTAAGGTCAAGACCTTCGACAGGTTCTATTCAGAAGCCTGGTGGAGCAATTCCTGATCCGGGAAGAACTGGCTGTAACACCCTCCCAAGGCACGCACGCACGCACGCACGCCCTCTAGCCACCCCGCCCCGTCCGTCCCAACTATACCACCAGCCACGCGTGCAACGCCGAGAGTTTGGGGTAGTGCAGGGGGCGCCAGGAACTCGTTTCCGAAGCTGGACGCCGCCGGGGGCAGATCCTCGACTCCATCTCTAGGACTCCGAAGTCTCTCCTCGTTGGAAACTTCACCCCGTTACCAGGTCGCAACCCCCGTCCCTGCAGTCCCCTTTCCCCTTCCCGTCGAAGGCGCACACCAGCTGGCCTGCCCACCCTGCAGGCGGTGGCGGCGCCAGGCCCCGCCCCTCCCCCCATTATCATTAGCAGATATTACCCTAAACACTTGCTCTTTACTTCCTTTCTCCCTCCAGGCATTGGCGAGGCGGCCTGTCAATCAGCTCTCGGGCGGCAGCCCCCCGCGCGGGGGCTCAGCGATGCTAGGCTTAGCGACAAGCGGCAGTGACGGCGGCGGCGGCCAAGGCACAGACACACACCCTCCCACAGGCGCGCACTCGGGCAGCGCCGGCGAGCGGGCGGCGGAGGTTCCCTCGGAGCCCGGTGCGGGTCGGGGAGGGGGCGTGCGACCGGGGACCAGCCCTGAAGCGCAGCATGGAGGAAGAAATGCAGCCGGCGGAGGAGGGGCCCAGCCTCCCCAAAATCTACAAGCAGCGCAGCCCCTACAGCGTCCTCAAGACGTTCCCCGGCAAGAGATCCGCGCTGGCCAAGCGCTACGACAGACCCACCCTGGTGGAGCTGCCGCACGTCCGGCCGCCACCGCCGCCCTTCGCGCCGCACGCCGCCGTCTCCATCAGCAGCAGCGAGCCGCCGCCGCCGCAGCAGTTCCAGGCGCAGAGCACCTACCCCCCGGGGCCCGGCCGGGCGGCCGCTGCCGCAGCCGCTTCGTCGTCATCGCCTTCCGCCGCGTCCCAGGGCCACCTGAGGACTCCCGCCCAGCCGCCCGCCGCCCCCGCCGCATCTTCATCTTCGTCTTTCGCCGCCGTGGTCCGGTACGGTTCGGGCCCTGCGGCTGCCGCGGGCAGCAGCAGCGCTGGCAGCAGCAGCGCTGGCAGTGACGGTGCCAACCTGGAGCTCAGCGCAGGTACCAACTCTTAGGCGCAACTTTCCTTCCCGCCCAGGCTGGGGGAGGGGTGGGGACCTGGGAAGGGGAAGCTAGGGGACGGCGGACACCCTCTCGCGCCCAGGGCCTGGCGGGAGGGGCAGGAGTGGAGGGGGCCGGTCACCCGGCTGAGAGTCTGAGCGTCCGAGCGCACTCCGGACACCTCCCTGCGCGGGCAACAAGTTCTGGAGGATTGCGCTGCGCTGCCGCCGCCGCCGCCGCATCCCGGGCTTTCGACGGCGCGCGCGCATCTTTTAACAGGTGGCTCCGCCGCTGGGATCCGGATTGGCGCCCAGGAAGTGCAGCGGTAGCCTGTGGGCGGCGGGGATTGTTTGGGCGGGGACGCGAGAGGCAACCCTGGCGCCGAGGCCGCGGGGATCGGACACCCTAAGGTGACAGCCGCGGCCTCTCCCGGAATAGCTTGAACTGCTCCGGCAGCTCTCAGGGACGCCCTTACAGCCTCCGCTGCCCCACTTTTTCCCTAATATTTCTTTCCTTTATCTCCCTGTCTCCGATTGTTTTTCCATCTCTTTCCGCCTTGCCTTCTGGTCGTCTTTTTCTCCACCTCCTTGATGCACTCGGTGTTGCGGTCTACTCAGCTGGCTCTTAAGCGCGCGTTGTCCCTACCGCTCCTTTTCCCACCGACCCCTAGTTCCCATACCGTGGCTGGAAGACTCCGGGCTCCTCTGCCCCAGCCACGAGGTGTAACTGGCGCTCGCCCCTGCGGCCGACTTCGAAGAAGGAGACGTCCTGCCCCTCGCCCCAGCACCGAGAGTCCGTACGCTCCGGCCCCGCTTCCCACACACACCTCACCCGCCGGGTGGGACACTGCTGCACCGGAGGGGGGGGGGGGTATTCCACCCACAGTATCTGGGCCCGGGCCTGCGGAAATGCCTCGTGGGGCGCATCCACCTCAGGGAATGAGATTCCCCTTTTTTACCGGGAGCCAGCGGGCTGCCCCTTAGGAAAAGGCCAGCCCTCCTGTCCCAGCAGGGTGAAGAGAGATGGGCTGGTGGAAAGGCTAAGGCCTGGGGCCTGCGTACAAGGGCGCTCTCTGCTCCCCGAGGACGCGCAGCCACGTTTTTCCAGCTCATCAGAACTAAAAGTTCCTTCCTCGGGCCTTTTATGGCACCTTGGAGGCCCCCTCCCCCGCCGAATTCTGCATATCAGTGAATCTAAGGCTTTATTTCTCATGCAAATATGAGCATTGTCTCTAAGTGAGTTATAGGTTCCGACGTTAATATTCTGTTGTTTGTCAATATTTTGACACATGAAGGATTGGTTTTCAGAAAGAAAATCTAATTACAGGTTATAGTGAAGACCTGTTCTGTTATGTACCTCACTGATTTGGAGGTGTTTGCTTTGAGTGGTGTTTTTATTGTTTATGATATGGGGTTTTTTTTCAGTTGCTCTTGGCCCCTTTTCTGTTGTGTTTTTATACTCACAGTTACTTGCCCACTTTTATTTGTCTCCTTATTTTTCTTCTGTTTTACCACCTTAAGAGGTTTGTGTTCCTTCTTCCTGGGTTTTGTGCCCATTTATATTCCCCAGCTCTGCTTTATCTTTCTATAATTTTATTTTGTGTTTCAATGGTTTGGGTCCTTTTCCCATTTTCTATATCTTGCTTAACTCATTTGCATAACCTCAGTTCCACCATGCTTATCGGGGTTTTCCCCTTCCTTTTCTGTCCATTTTAGTCTTTACTCTTCTTGCCTTCTCCTTTCAGTCTTGGCTGAGTTTGTCTTTTACTTCCTTTTACACACTAGCAGTCTAACCCTTTGCCTTTTCCTTCTTTTCTCTACACCAGTCACTTGCTATCCTGTCCACCATCTTTCCTGCTCTGGCACTTTCCATGCTGCTTTCACTCATAAGCAGTTTCCTTTTCTTTCTTACCGTGTTCTAGATGCTCTTTCAGCATTTCTTTTGACTTCCTATTTAGTCTACTTTGTCTCCAGGTGGAAACCACATCACTGAATCTAAAGAAGTGGAAAGGGGCTTGTTGATGGCCCTGACACAACCTACATTTCTTATTTTCTTTTATTGTCAAGACTTCTTTTTTTTGGTTTGTTTGTTTTTCAAGAGAGGTCATAGAGAGGTAGTCTTAATAACACCAAGGGCAGGATGCCACATGCTTGTTGGAAAGATGAGAATTAAATGGTAGGTGTCTTCCATGTAGTGAAGAAAATGGTCGGGGGCAAAAAAAAATGCCCATATAACTAGGCATCATGAATTGTGGTCATATTAATCACTGATGGACAAAGCCATTCTTAACAGACACAGTGATGTGAGTGACCATCAGAGAGACGGTACCTGAAGAGCTGATTGGTTCTTTGAAGAACTAGTGGTTCCACTTTGAACCAATGAGCTTGTGTGCATAAAAGGATGGGCAGTTCAGCATACTGGATGGGGGTGGTGGGGAGCTTTGATTGTTGCCCCCTCACAAAAGTGTTATTGCAGTGTCTCAAACCACCTGGTAAACAGAAAATAGTCAGGGCATCATTGTGATTAAATGAGTCAAGGGTAGAAGAAGAGGGATGAGGGCGTCCAGAGTAAATGCAGTTGAAAAGATGAAAGGATCGAAGTGAGTCTTGTTTGCCATTAAGGGCCATAAACCATTGAGAGGAGGAGAACTATGTGATTAAAAATAGATTTTTTCAACATTCTTATAAAATCTCACGAACAGTATAATTTTCTTTAAAAGGGGTAATATACCATGGTTTTAAAAGCATATTTTTCCTCTGTGGGAGGCTTAGAGTTAAAACCCACGCAGATCTTGATACGCGGCCTAAATTTGGCGTCAGGAAATGGGAAATTGCATCTTTAAGCAGAGTACAATCAAAAATGAATTACAATAAATCCTATATAATTGCATAGGTCATTCTCTTTAATGAGATTTTATTAACCTGACTGTCAAGCTTTTGAGTCAGGCAGATATTTTATCTTCTTCAACTGATAAAAGTGTCAGCTATAAACCACCATATAAATATTCATAAATCTACACATCTGTGGCAGCCTATCAGCATCATTCTTTTGGACATTAAAAGCATTCTAATTACTTTCTGTCTAGCAGAGCTGAAATGCTGCCTGTTATAGTATGTGCTTGGCAGGCATGATTGCTTTTGTTTGCCATCACAAATAGCAGCATCCTATTTTATATACCGATGGTCCAGAAAATATTCAGGGATTGACTGAGCAGGATGAATATTAGGAAGCACCATCTGGTTTTGATAGCACCGAGTATATTAACTCATCTGTTAATTTTTGACACATCATTGATTTATTTATTTAGAAAAATTGCATCCTGTTTTGCTGTATTGATGTTTGCCATTATGAAAAAAGATGGGATGGCTTTTTTTTTTTTTTTTGAGACATAGTTCATTGATTTAACTCAAGGGTGATACTTCCAAAGAGGCTTTCATTTTCTGACTTCTATTCTCTATGCCATGGAGTCCTTTCTTAAAAGGAAGTCATATTAATGTTTTAAGGAAATGTATCAATTTTGCATTAGCTGGAAATCCTTTGGGTAGATATACTATACGGCTACTTGATAGTAGGTCTCAGAAATTTTTTTCTGCTTCTGCATTTTTAATATTAATATATTTCACCCTTCGCTGGGCTAAAATCAAAAGGTTACCACTAATCTCCACTACTGTGATCTCCTTCATAGACCCAGAATACTCTTGGGGATATGCCGTGATGGGCAAATTCCATTCAAGGCTTCACTTCCAAAGAAGGACATTAAAGTGGGTAGCCGGTGTTTGATTGCCGAGTCCCCTTCCCTCTTCTTACTCACTTGCCAGATGGATTAAACCACTGAAGTTCAGAAAAAAAATTGTAGGCATGAATTGTTTTGATTAAAAAATAATCATGGGTTCAGAGTTTGGAGTCAGACTAAGTGCAGTTTGCAGCGCGATACTGTCTCCCAACCGACGGCAAACTAAGTTAGAAAGAAGTGGTTATTTTAGAATGGTTTGTGACTGTGACATTTTGTGTTTGATTTTAGAGAAGTCCGGACACATAAGTATTTTAAAGCCCTTTTGTAAACTGTTGACTTTGTACTTCTCTGCCATCATCTGAGTGGAGCATTGTGTGACTAGGAGGAGTAGTGTTTAAAAATTTCAGAATCCACCTTCACACTTGCACAGTTAGGGATCACGGATCAGTGGCCATTCGGTTGTGTTCGTATGAAAACAGAACTTTTCTCTACTTCTTAGCAATAATGGGCACCATGCAATGCTCGAATTTCTAATCATGTTCTGTCTGGAAAGCTAAAAGCATTACTGGCTGCAGTATGTATTAAGTAGAAAGAGTTACTGTGTTCTCCAAGTGTAATAGTAATTATTTCTCATCATGCCCTTCAATGTATTGATGTTAACATTCTATTCCAATATTTTAAGATAGTGAAAAGAGACGAAATTAAATTTTAAGGCTTATGTTTGTTGTTTTTGCATATGTCAATTCTGAGGATAAAGCATTTTTTAAAAACTTCTAGCCAGAACTGTTTTATGATTGAAACTGTTCTCTCATGTTCTGAGTGTGCTTTATTTAATATATTATCTTCATAATGTAGGGTATTACATAATGATTTTTTTCTCAGCATATTATAAGTTTATTCTTCAATTAAGAAAACAAATTATAGTTGTCCCCGAGTCAGATTCTTTTCTCTTAATCTATAACCTAATGTGATTTATCAATATGATTAAAACTACTAAGTGTTTTTTGGGACATTGAACAAATATATTGAGAATTCTTTCTAGACAGTTCTACTTTAGCCTTTCCTTCATATTTTGTTCCTTTTATCAAGGTTATGGCAACCGTGTGTCGGCTTTAAATCAGTGGGGACTGTGCTGATTAAAATGCAAACAGTAAATACAACTTCAGGTCTAGAATGGGATTATAGGATTAAAATGCATGAAAACTGTTAGTGTGCTACCATTGAAAATTCCCAATCAATATCATCCTTTGATTTGACTAATAAAGAACAAAAACCTGGAAGTAAAAAAATGAGAGGACAACATCTTAAACCTCCCCAGTATTCAACTGTTTACTCCCTTGTTTCTTTGTTTTCTTGGTCCTTATAAAGAAATGATGCACAAACAGTTGAGGTCTTTCCCCATTAAGTTTTGGTTTAAATCTTGAGCTCAGTTCTTTATTCCACTGGGAAGGGGCAGAGGCATCATCAGTTCCAGTGGTTGGTGCAAGAGATACTTCCCATATCCACGTCCCTTTTTCTCCAAGGTAGTAAATGAACTTTATTCTGGCAGGTTCTTCAGCCCAGTTCTCAGTCCACGAATCCGTTCTAGCCTGAAACCGTGCCTGCCATCTGGGTCCTCTGTAGCACTCAAAGTAATTGTGTGAAACAACAGGCCTTCTTCACCTGTTATCTGTGGGATTCAGGACAAGAGTACGAATGCAGGCCCATACGTATATCTAGATAACGGAAAGGCCTGAGTCAAGCTATCAAACTGTTAAAATACGTTCTGTCCACCTCTCCTGACAAAGACACTGTCACAACAACTACATTTGACTTCAGTGCTTTCAGCCAGCCGGGGGGCCTTCTAGCACCTCCAGCTTCATCTTCCTGTCGGATGGACCACACACACACACACACACACTCACACACTGGTGGACGCCAGTTCAAACTTCCAAGCTCTGGAAGATGGCTCTGGGAAGAGACCAGCAGAGGCCTGCAGAGCAGTTTGAGCAGCAGACTGTGGGGCCTGGGGCAGCTCACCATGGGGAGGAACAGAGCCCTCCTGCCTGTGTCCAGGGCCGTACTGCTCCCTAAGAGTGAGGAAGCACCAGGCCAAGAAGAAAAGGTGGCGGATGCACAGCCCCCTCAAAGTGGCCCTGCCAGCCCCACCCCAGCCAGTGACCCTGAAACTGCTGTGAACTAAGGTCCCCTGTGTACAGCCACCCTGCGTGCACCTCAGGATTCCCTGAGGTCCTGTGCTGGCCCTCACACCCCGGTGCACTCAGACCTGCCCCACTGGTGGAGGCACTGCCTCTTCCTCTCCTGGACCCGGGAGCATTGGCCTCTGTGTGCCGGCTTCTCGTTTCTTCAGAGGGATGTAGGGATGGTGGCATTTTACAGGTTCGGGAGGTGTGAAGGGTGCTTCCTGTAGGCCAGGCACTGTGCTCTGCGCATCACGTATGTATTCTTATTAAATCACTGAAAAAGGAGACTTGGCCCCCTTCCCCCAATACCTTACTTATTTCAGGAAAGACTCCAAAAGCACAAAATGGAATCCGAAGTACTGCAGGGAAGTTTCTGAAAGGCGCTTGCCTTAATCACACATCCTGCATTTTCTGGAGAAAACAGTTTCTCAGTCACTAATCTAGGTCCTTGTTCCCATAGAAGCCCTTGAGCATGGCACCATTTTTCATTTTAAGTTACAGGGTTTTTTGCTTTTTTTTTTTCCAGAAAAAAATCCAATGTTTTCAGAGACAGCAAGTAGTTAGTTACATTTCTATCATAAGCAGTGGTACTGGCACCAAAAATCCACACTATTTTGTTTGTTGCCGTTGTTCTGGGGTGGGCATGGGGGGCATCCCCCTGCCTCTGAAGGCCCCCCCGCTCTGTGCTGTGAGTAGCTCCTTCTGGGTGGTGCTCGGGAAAGAACGGACTCCACCCTGTGACATTTGTGTTGAGAGTAAATTTTCAAGACCTTCAGACTGACAGTATTAAATCACATTTTCACAATTTGGGTTTTTTCCCCCCACTTTGTTTTTTGCACTGAATTGATTGCTTTCTGTTGGCTTTTTGCCTCTGCCGACTAAGAGTCAATGTGCTTTACGATTCACCTGTGTGAACTAACTGGCATTCTCAGCACATGCCATTTTAGGAGATTTGGCAACCTAATGGGAAAGGCTCTACTGCTTTTCAGATGATGCTGATACAGATCAGCCTAAACATTGGCCTTGACGAGAAATCCAAGTGAGCAGATAAATTGAAAGAGCCGTGGACACGGCTGTTGGAGAACACACACAGTTTTGCTTTGGGGGTCCTCATCGTCTGCCCGATGGGCCCACGCCTTGTTTTACCTCCCATATCTAGTGAGCTCTTATCTTTTCTTCTCCAGTTTGCATCTGGGAGCAACTACTCTCGGCAGGGATCGTACCAGCTGATTAATAGCAAGGGCATGAGGGCACTCCAGAAATAGAAGTAATGATTGCTCTAAGCCCACCTTTCAATGAGGAATTGAGTCTGCAGCGGCTGGCTCAATTCATTAGTGTAAAGACATTAATGAAGCCATAGGTGTGAGTTCAGACCTGTGCAGGCCAGTTACTGCCACAAAGAGGAAATTTCCACCCGGTGCCCAGAGTCACAGTCCAGCCATTTCCAGAGTGAGGGGCTAGGGCAGCTCATAGGGTGCCCCACCAGCCAGAACGACAGGAAGCTGTGCATCCTGTTAAAAGTGGATTCTCCATGTCACCTTGATGTGTTTAAAAAATGCATTTTTAAACATTTTTGAATGTTATACTCGAAACTGAGGACTTGACTTATCCTTCGTCTTTGACTGTTGGTCTCTGACGCGTCCGTTTGTGTGTTTCAGAGAGTCGCATGATCCTGGATGCCTTCGCCCAGCAGTGCAGTCGCGTTTTGAGCCTCTTAAATTGTGGAGGGAAACTTCTGGACTCCAGCCACTCTCAGTCCATGATTTCTTACGTGAAACAGGAAGGCCCAAGTTACACTGAAAGACAGGATCAGTGCCACATCGGAAAGGGGGTCCATAGCCAGACCTCAGACAATGTGGACATAGAGATGCAATATATGCAAAGGAAACAACAAACTTCTGCCTTTCTGAGAGTCTTCACTGACTCGCTACAAAATTACCTGCTCTCGGGAAGCTTTCCAACTCCGAACACCTCCTCGGTCAGCGAGTACAGCCACCTGGCGGACGTGGACCCTCTGTCAACCTCCCCGGTGCATACGCTAGGGGGCTGGACCTCGCCGGCAACGTCCGAATCCCATGGCCACCCGTCTTCTTCCACACTGCCAGAGGAGGAGGAGGAAGAGGAGGAGGAAGGCTACTGTCCTAGATGCCAAGAACTGGAGCACGAGGTCATTTCATTGCAGCAAGAAAATGAAGAGCTCAGAAGGAAATTAGAGAGCATCCCAGGTACAGGACAGCGGCAATTCGTTCCTTTCCACTGCCTCATTTGTGTGTGTGTGTGTGTGTGTGTGTGTGTGTGTGTGTGTGTGTGTGCGCGCGCACGCGAGCATGTGTGTGGTTTATTTGCTTTTGGCCAGTGATGGAGAAAAATTGGGAAAACAGGTATGCACAGGGTACCCTTAGCCTGCCCACACCTAACAGAATTTCAGGATGAGCCGCCCGCCTCGTCCTGTGTTTAAGCCACATTCTTCTTGGGTGTCGGCCTGAAGAGCACAGCCCCATTAAAAGATGTCTCGCCGTGGCTGGTTGGAGTGTCGTCCCAGAAACAGAAGGCCACTCACTGGCTCAATTCCCAGTCAGGGCACGTGCCTGGGTTGTGGGTTGGATCCCCGGTTGGATGCAAGAGGCAGCTGTTTCTCTCCCACATTGATGTTTCTCTCCCTCTCTCTCCTCTCCTCTCCTTCCCATCTCTCTTAAATCAATACGCATGTCCTCTGATGAGGATTATAAATAATAATTTTAAAAAGGTGTCTCTTATTAATACAAGTGACCCCTAGAAATGGTGCAGTGAGGTCAGAATAGGACCAGGGCTTTGAGTCTGAGTTTGCTTCAAAAAAATGGCCCTGTTCCTTTAAAATGGCTTTTGTATTTTTAAAGACTTTGACATATGCCTTTTATTAATCAGTGATAGAAATTAAAATGAAATGATACTTTCAGAGAGACAGGACTCAAGTAATAATGAACAAATGATCTCTTCTATTCCATTAATTTCTCATCTTTCTTGTTAAGTTACAACAAGCAGAGTCTCTTTTTAGCTTATAGACTCCCCCTTAAAGTTCGTAAGCAGCTATAAACTAAAAGTAACAGATCCAAGACAGAACAGTAACTAAGCCGGTCCCAGACTATTTGTGGCCCTCACTGAACATGAGGCAGGAATTTTCCAGTGAGCCACTGGATTTTCAGAAAAGTAAAACTCACCTTTACGATAAGGTCTTCTCTGGGTTGCAGGGCCTTTTTTTACTACTTGGAATGGTATTGATTTTGCTTATTTCTTTTAATTCATTCCGGCATGTCTGTGGTGGCTGATAAAAGATATTAATGTTAAGATCTTTAGCTGGAACAATATCTTCAAACCTTTTTAATCATACAGCCATTCATAAAATTGTGGAACCGACCCTTCTCTTGGGGGTCATTCTTACAGCCAGGCAGGGTGGGTGATCGTAGAGGAGAGGGTGGCGTCCAGCGGGGAGCAGAGGGGATAAGGTCATGGGGGCCCCTGCCGTAGGCCAGAGCCCAGACACCACTCCCCAGCCACTTCTCCGCCCTCCGAGTCATACTGCTGAGCACCTCTGAGATTCCTGTTCCTTTTTTCCCCCTGAAGTAGAGCATTCGTACCTGAGAGCAGTCCTTGAAGTAAAAGTTCAAAAGCAGTGAGCCTATCAGTTTACAAGGAAAAAAAGATTTCACCTGGGCAGCCGTGAAAGGGGGACAGGGAGGGTGCAGACCTTAGCAAAAACAAAGGTTCTTTCCAGCGCCACTCGAGAGGGTCTGTGTTACTGTATTACTTGTGAAACATTCAACAAAGTCCCACTAATTACCAGCTGCAGGCAAGCAAGGGGCTTCTGAACAGTATTGCTAACTTCCTTTCCGAAGTTAACTTGCAGATGTAGGCTATTGAACATGCATCCCAGAGAAGCAGCTTCAGCATGTTTTCTAATGTATTAGATTATCCCACTAGAAATTAGTCTGTTTAAAACTTTAACGTGTTTTGAAGAAAGTGAAAGTAGGTCAAAAGAAAAAAGCCACAAAAGGAAGAGGCATTTGGATCAGGAACACGAAGAGCTGCGAGACTGTTGAAGGGAGGACAAGGCTGGGGAAGCTGCTCAGTGAGGGGGTCAGGGCAGAGCACTCACGTTCAAGTTTAGAGGACCTGCCGTCAGCACTAGGTGGAGAGGAGTCTGGGTGGGTATAAAATACCGTTGCTTCATCTAAATTGAGCCCCCGGTGAGTGTAAGACACACTGGTGCTGCGGGTTCCCCTGAGAAGAGAAACGCTGCAGGTCATAATTGCGTGTTACAATGATCTTTGAACACCAAGTTCAGAGATTTTAAAATACGAGGAATATAGGTCTCAGAACCATAGATATGGTAATTTAAAAATAATTTCCTAAGTAAATAAGTATGACACATTATAGGGAAGATACACTTGTTGATATTATTAAAGAACTTTCTACTCTTTTTTTTATCCTCACCAAGGATATGTTCACTGATTTTAGAGAGAGGGGGAAGGAGAGAGAGAGAGGGAAACGTCGATGAGTTGACTCTCACACGACGGGAGCAAATCCACGACCTTCCGGTTTACAGGACAACATGCTCGCTGAGCCACACCAGGCAGGGCAGGAGCTTTTTACTCTTGGAGAAGTATCCTCATGATACATACTTCAGTTTTTCCTTGTCACTCCAGTATTTCCATTTCAGACAAAGAGGTTGGACCTGGGCAGCTGGTGTCTGTGGCAGACCTGGCAGTACAGTCCCAGTCTCCTGGCTCCCGATGTGTTTTATTCCCTGTTCCACCCTCAGAAGCTGTTGATTCTCGTTCTTCACGGTGGTTGTGTTCTCTAAAGTCGCTCCGAACATGGCACCATTACTCCTAGGGGAAATACAGAGCTAGGTTCCTCTGAGCCTCTGGCCACAGCATTGTCATCAGGCGATCTAGACGTAGCCGTGTTTTTATTTAAAGAGACCTTATTTAATGTATAGTGTTGGCTGATTAACATTGAACTCACAGCACTGTAACTAATGCCCAAATGAAACTTAACTAACACGTATTTTCTCCGTGAGGCACATTGCAGCATTCGTGCCTTTGGGAACATTAGTACTCAGTTGTACCTTCACAGTGTGTTTTAAACAGTGAAATCACCACCAGTGAGCACAAAAATGCAAAAACGGTGGCGCTGAATAGACCATGGAAAGGATACTTGTTTGTGGTGAAGGAGCTGAAATAGGCAGAGTGTTACCTTGTTCAGCCTCCGAGCGGGGGTGGGGGGGGGGGGGGGTGGTGCATCGGGCTACTCAGAGTTTTCCATGATCTGCGAATGACTACCAGAGCGCCACAGATACTGACCTGACCGGGACAAAACATGTTAGCGAATAGGCACGTTTGCAAATACAGAATCCTCAGACAAAGGGGATCGACTTCTATAAACTAGAGAACTATCCTTGGAGTATGCAGTTCTGATCCTGGTAGTCCACAGTGGTCGTTTTCTAAGTAAGAAGATTTTTTAAACGATAAATCAGTGTCACCTTTGGGGTAATAGTAATTTTGCTCAAACAAAAAGCCCTTGTAGTAAACTTAGTGCAGATTCGCTGGTACCCACCACCGCCATCCCCACCCCCAAACTCACACATACCTGTAGTGCCTGTGGGAGATGCTCAGGTTGACCCAGAGGTGTGGGGACAGCAAGGTTGACACGGGGCGTGAGGACATACATTCTGAGTAAAACGGATAGAGCAAATGACAGGAACAGAGAGGAATAAAGAATTGAATTCTGTAAGTTAGAATTCAGTAAAGGCCATCGCAAGTCCTGTTACAGCTTCAGGTGCGGCCGAGGGAGACAGAACAACGTAAGAGGAAAAGAAGGGATTTCGAGTACGACCTGAGTCTGATTTCCACTCCTACGTGCCAGCTGTGGTGTTCGGCACGTCACTTCACTGCTCGAGCTCACTTTCCCCTTTCTGTGAAGGGAGGCTGATCACAGTGCGAGAGTGTTGGAAGTACCAAGTGCATTTACAGCAGCCGAGTGCCTGGGTCTTCAGTAGGCACTCAAGAATGGAGGTGTTCAGAAAGAGGGGAACTTCTGTGCCTAGAAACACGGAAATGTTACATGTTTTTTTTTAGATTAGAAGTGGCATTCTTACCAGTCGGTTCATCCCCCAGGTTGGAAACCTCAGATCCATCCATAAAGCCCCTCTCCCCGCTGCCGCGGTCCGTCTCCTCTCCTGCGCTCCTGTGGATTCCAGCTCAGTCTGTTTGGGTTCCCCCCTGGCCCCTCTGCCTTCATCGGGGCCTGTGTCACACAGCACAGGCTCCTGCGGCAGCCACGCCACTCCTCTCCCAGACGCCACACCCTTCCCACTGAAAAACCTGGGCTCACCTACTGCTGAAGAGCCGCTGAGGGCTCCGCACGGTCTGCGGGATGAAGCCCAGTGCCCTCCGTGCGGCACGTGAGGTCCTTCACCGCCTGGATCTTTCCCTGCCTATTTTGGTAAACCTGACCCTCAAGTTCCCACCCCTCACCGAGCGTTCCAGCTCCACCAGACAGTTTGCGATTCCTGAGGTGCCACACACTTCTGCTCCTGGTCCTCCCTGACTCCTGCTGTTCCTTCTAAGAACATCTTGTCCTTTTCCTCACTTGAAAAACTCCCACTCATGTTTTGGTATCCAGTTCCCATGACACTCCTCTGTAACAAACCTCTCCCCCAGTTCCCAGGCAAGATTAACCACTTTCTGTAGCACATCGCATATTTCTGTTCATGTCGACGTCAGGGCAAGGTTTTACTTTCTGTGGCCTCTCTCTCCCGATGACTGACGAGAGGAGAGGCAGGCGCTGTACAGCTCTAGACGGCAGAGACTGAGTCATCTTTGTGTCCCCAGATATACCCCAGTGTCAGGCATGTAGCATCCACACACATCAGTTAAATTACACAGGACGCGTTGTCACCAAAAGCATAACCATGCCTCGAGTGTGCGCTGAGTGATACTTCAAGCTCATCGTTCATTTCTAGGTGTTTACAGTTCAGGAGCTTACACTTTACAGAGACGAAGTGAACAGGACACTTACGGGGCGATCAGGGCACAGCTGGCATGGTCGTCAAGGACAGTAAATAATTTCGGTCTCCCTGTCAAATTGTGTGTAGTGTGTTTTGAGATAACGTTTTGAGTTTTACAATTATCTAACGAGGTAGATTAAATAATGTGTGGGGAATGAGAAGAGAAACTACAGTCGAAATTGTAATGCAATGATCTGCAATGAAAAGTAGGCACTTGAAGCCCAAGTGCCCTTAATATAGGCAAAAACAGAACTGGAGCCTCGGAAGAGCCGCACTTAACAGTCACTCAGACGATAGACACAGCAGCCAAGGCAGCAGAGTCAATTAAGTGGCCTCTCGGAGGAATTAACTAGACTCCTAGTTGTAAAATAGCAACAGCTTACATTAGGCAGTATTTGCTGGGCGCTCTCTGCTCCACCTGTGTTATTTCTGTTAATCTGTGCAATAACTATGCAGTGGGTAATAGCCTTACAAATGCGATAAGAAAGGGTAAGTAACTTGGCCAAGATTACACAGTTCAAGAGTGCCAGAGTTGGTACTAAGAAAAACATACAGTGTTCAAGAATGACTTTGGGACCGATGTCCCGGCCTTCCTGCCCGTGAGCTCTTACGTACTAGTATTCTCGCAGACTGTGTGCAAGACCCTGTCTCTGCCGGCTCCACTCACCCCCCAGACTGCAGTGACACCCAGCCTTCTAGGCAGGGGCCGCCTTGGTGTCTGAGAGCAGCCCTGTCATGTATGTAGTGTGGGTACTTGATGGAGAATATTTGCAGTCCATCCTCTCAGTTTTTACTTAATGGATGCAAGAGAACTTTCTACTTTGTAACTTTTTTCCCCTGGGTATTTAATACTCTTTCCAGGATTGTCTAATAGGCATTTTAAAACGTTACTACATAAATACTAATTCCAGAATAGGTACTAGGGACATTTGGGTGCCTTCACGTTCTTTCTTTCCTTTTATTGGAAATTGCTATCATTTGGGGCTCCTCCTTGATTTTTTTCATTAACCCTATGAGATGGACCTGGCTTTCCTTGGCAGAACCTGCCTGGTGGGTCTGAGGTGGTAGCTTCTCCATCAGTAACAGTGCCTTGCTTAAAAGTCACAGTGTGCTCTAGGAGACAATTAGATGCGAAGGCCTCCTTGAGGATTCTGTTGGTCTTTTTGCTGCCCTAAGCCCTGACCTCCCTCCCTTCCAGGGTCTGGCCTGGACCCCACCTGAAACCCTGGCCCCTTACTCCCCGTTGGTGATGGCTCCACATCCTCGCTCAGAAATTCCACAGTGTGTCCTCGGAACTGTAGGTGGATGGAGCAAAAGGGCAGGACTGGATTCCCAGCACTCCCTGCTGGGTGCCCTGTGCATCTCGCAGGCAGGCAGTGTGGTGTAGCTGTGAGTCAGGGTAAAATTTCTTCCCCCTTCCATCTCTCCTTAAACACAGCTACCTCCACTTTCCAGACTGACTTTTTTCTCACACACAAAATATTTTACTTAATTCTGCAGCTTCCCTGGGTAAATCTAGGCAACCCTCCGCAGAGCCTTCAGTCAGGCATGACGTTCCAAATCCCTGACAGCAGGGCCTCTGGGTCCCGGAGGCCTCCGCCTTCCGGGGGAGGGGCTGCTCAGAGGGCCCGGACCCTGCTCATTTCAGTCTTTCAGCAATTGCCTGAGTCAGAGCCTTAGCTTCCTGGCCTTAAGCCTTGTGCCCATTTATCAACCTGCAGGACCCACTTGCCCCGAATAGAGCCCCCTACAGCCAGGAAATGCAACATGTTTGAATCAGCTGGCCCCACCCATAGCTCCGCACTGCTGCCTAAATACTGTGGGGTGTACAGAGTGGGGGAGGCAACCTCCGAGCCCTCCCAGGACATTGACCAATCAATGGGTGACACAGAGCAAAGGAAGGGCTGGCTCTATGTAGACATTCTTCAGACAACTTTCAGATTATTTTAATACGAGCCCACTGTAGAAATGTTTTAATGGTTTTTACAAGCATGATAAAGGATAAACATAATAGCTACCCTAATCTGCTAGTAAAATATAATCATGGTTAATTATTATTAACACTTGTTTCCAGTTTGTCTTCTATACATATAATTGCTTTTCGTCTTAATCCTTACGCGAGGATTTTAGAGAGAGAGGAAGAGAGGGAGAGAAACATTAGGGTGAGAAACATCGATTAGTTGCCTCCAGTCCATACCCAGCTGGGGATCGAACCTGCAACCTTTTGGTGCACAGAGTGACACTCCAACCAACTGAGCCACCCAGCCAGCACGACACATAATTACTTTTAACACGTGGAGGTCATAAGGAATACACAGGTTTTATTTTATTGAATTTATTGGGGTGACACTTGTTAACAAGATTATATGAGTTTCGAGTGTACAGTTCTGTACCCAGCATCTGCATATTGCAGTGTGTGCCCACCACCCAAAGTCTGTCTACCTCCTGTCTCCATATATTTGAGCCCTTTTCCCCTCCTCGGCCTCCCCCACCCCCTTTCCCTCCGGTAACCATAGCACTGTTGTCTGTGTTGGTATGAGTTTTTTGTTCATTCATTTGTTGCTTTTTGTTTTATATTCCACATTTGAGTGAAAAATCATATGGTTCTTGTCCTTTCTGTCTGGCTTATTTCGCTTCACTTGATATTCTCAGGATCCACCCCCATTGCACAACTGGCAGTATTTCATTCAGTTTTGTAAGCTTTTTGCTTCATTTAAACATTTTTTCATAAACATCTTAATGACTATAAAATATGGGTAAGGGATCAAAAGAAGTTTCATTCAAATCCTAGTCAGTCAGTGCTGACAAAGTTTGCTAAAACTTCCAAACTGAATCCTGCTAAATGCCCTGCCCATGTCCCAGAGCAGCGACACAAATACGGTTGCATCAGATTCTAACCGCGAACCGGGGGGGCAGAGCGCTGCTCTCAGGGTCCTCCTGCCAGCACTGCGCAGCGCAGACTCGGACACGGGAGCCAGGCGGAGCCCAAAGGCCACGGCGGGTGAAGGCCGGAACTCAAGCACGAACCTGTTCTCTGTCTCCGTTAGCTTCTCCAGTCGTCTGCTTTCCCCCCATAATTAACGCCCATTGCTAGGAGTTTCCATCACACACACACGCACACACACACACACACACACACCGTGGAATCAGAAGAGCAGATTAGACCTTGAACTAAGGAGTAGGAGTAGTTGACTGGTCTTACCAGACTCTGGCTTTGTCAAAGTCCTGCTTTAAACTGGTACAGCTGCACCTTCTGTTTGTTGACTTGTTTGGCAGCTGCCTCTTCAGTTTGAAGAATAGATTTAAATGGCCATTCAGGAGTGGCCTGTGACGAAAGACTAAGACACAGATCTCAAAAGATGGTTATTTAAGAAAAATCTTTTTTGGCAAGAAGAGGAATTTCCTAATCTACTCATACTTCCTGTCTTCAAATTCTTCAAAAGGATGTTGATGAAGCGTTCAATTTGTTATGTCACAATGTGATGTCTCCTAAAAATCCTAAAGCTGTTAGTGGGTAAAGATGATAATTTCTGTTTGCTGTCTTTTTAAAAAAGTGGTGAAAAAAAACAAAGCAAAGAAAGCCCAGTGGTGATACTTTAAATTTGGGGCTTCAGTTAAATCTTATTATCTTCAATATGACAAAAACATCTTAAGAAAACACACAGCTAAGACATGGTGACAGTAATTCACATATATTAGGTTTTGGGGTTTTTTAATATTTTATTTATTTATTTTGGGGGGAGGAGAGAGGAAGAGAAACATCAGTGTGTGGTTGCCTCTCATGTGTCCCCTGCTGGGGACCTGGCCTGCAACCCAGGCATGTGCCCTGACTGGGAGTCAAATCGGTGACCCTTTGCTTCACAGGCCCGTGCTCAATCCACTGAGCTACACCACCCAGGGCTATATTAGGTTTTTAACTGAGCTACCCAGGCCTTGAAAAACAATTAGTATTCCTGAAAAGGCTCTAATATAAATCTTAAGATGTAGGGATTCTTCATGCAGTGCTATAAAAAATGTCAGGCTCTATGTTGGCTTAATACCTGTTCAGTTTTATTTTAGTTATTCAATGATTCTATGAGACTAAGCTTCAAAAAACTAAGAACAATTAATGAAGTACACAATAACCAAATAGGAATTGGACCAATCAGTTAAGTTTCCTGAGAGAGAAGGGGACACTCACCATGGGAACTGCGTGGTCAGGGGTAGTCTGTTGGGAAACAGGACTACACTGCATGGCATTCCTGCTTCCTGAGGAGCTAGGCATAAAGCTGTCATTAGAAATGAGCGTTGCCCTGGATGATGTGGTTGCGCATCATCCTGCAAACCGAAAGGTCGCAGCTTCCGCTCCCGGTCTGGGCACACGCCTGGGTCGCAAGTTCAGGCCCCATTTAGGTGTGTACGAAAAGGTAGCCAATGGATTTTCCCTCTCACACCGATGTTTCTCTCTCTCTCTCTCTCTCCCCCCTTATCCCTTTCTCTAAAAAGCAATGACAAAAATCAGGTGAGGATAAAAGAATAAAGGTTATATTATTGATTAAAATAGTGAAACGTTAGTTTTTCAGCATTTTAATTTTAAAAAGCATCATCGGGTACTACAGTTACAACTTGAGTCAAAGAGGAAAGATCATGTCTCTTCTGTGAGCTGTTCCTGATCATTGTCATTGACCCAAATTCATCTTAGATTAAGTTCGTCTTGAAAGTTTTCAGGGAATTGTGCTGAGCCAAAAACTTTCCCCCAGACCGTGTCATCTGTCTGTATTTACAAACTGAAATAGCTCCAGCTGCCGTATGCAAGAAGATTCTGTCTCCTGTAGAAAATAAGTTCTTTTTAGAAGTTTGCATCAAAAGTCTTTTTCGACCACGTTCTGTTTTCTCGTGGCGGGACAGCTAAAGTCTAACTGTTGCCATTTCTTGCCCACAGTGCCCTGCCAGACCGTGCTAGATTACTTGAAGACGGTGCTACAGCATCACAACCAACTCGTGATCCCACAGCCCGCTGACCAGCCCACCGAGGTAGGTCTCCCTTTGCAAAAGCAAACGTTGTTCCCTTTGGAATTTCCTTAAAATGAAGCCCCCTGATGGCTTACCCACGTACATCAGAACAGATTGGCAGGCAAAACACATTTGCTCTCTGAGGCTTAGGGGTCTGTTACCCGTGACCTTGTAGACTGTGGCAAATGATGATGCATGCATTAATTCACACAGACTCAACTGCGTACTCGGGGGGAGTAAGAGAAAGAGCCGTAAGCACTGTGGGCAGCTTTCCACCATTCTTTGGGCACAGGGGGCCGGAGATGGGAGACAGCAGCCTGTCGTCCGCCCAGGTGGAGCCTGTGTTCCAGGATGCCCTTCTGTGACTTCCCCGACACTGAGACTCGAGTGTTTAGAAGGGTGTTTTCCAAACATCAGGGCCTCTGAACATGGGCATTTTGTACCCCTGGACCACCCATTTCTTCCACCGTGTAAGAGAAGTGGTCTGTTTCGATAGTGACGGTGATCTGTCCAACCACAGGGCACTTACAGGATTTTCAAGGCTCAGTCTTCTCTGTATGTTATCTTCACCTTAGAGGCGCAGAACCTAAATTCAGTAGAGGAAGTAACTGCTCTACCTTACAGGGTTTATAAATGCGTAGGGGCGATAGCAATTGATTTAGGTCATTGTTTGATGCGCTGTTCACGCTGGTGATCGTAGGGTGCTGAAGCTCTGTATCTGGTGGCCCAATATCCACCGGCATTTCCTGCGGGTAGTGAAGTGATACTACAGTTTATCCCTGTGCTTACTGTCTAGCAGCTGCACCTACACACTTGTTCCCACCAGGCCCCATGTCTCTCTGCTTAAGAGAAACACAAGCACACACAGCTGTGTCGTTTTCTGCTCACAGGAGACGAGGTGAAGAGGGTGGAGTCGGTCTGCTGTAGATTGAGACTGTCACCTTCCGTGGGACCTGAGACTTCTTGGGCAGTTGCTCCCTTTTCCTGTAATTGGAGGATTTCAAAGGTCCAGTCCTTTCCTGCAGCCCCAGCCTATGCCTGGTCTCACCACACTCCCTCTCTTGAATTTAGCAAAAAAGTGAGGTACCCAGTTGAATTTGGCCTGCTGGATTCGGCCACACTTACTTCAGACTTCTTGCGTGCCCCGCGCTCCCAGAGGAGGCAGTGCCCCGCACCCCCGAGACTGGCCCAGGTCTGTTTTACCCGGCGCCACCCTCCTCCTTCAGCGCTTGCCCCCTCGGTTTTTCCTTGTCTTGTGTGCTGATCTCTCTCCTGTGACTGGGTCATCCCCCTGAGCGGCACACACACTCGAGTCTTCCCACCCTGAAAAGAAGCCTTCCCTGACGCTTCCTCCCTCCATCACTCACTCACTGTCTTTTCTTTCTCCTTCCATCGCCCTAAGAACCCTCCGTCAGCACCTCCGTCCACACCACAGCACACCTTGCTCCCTGCGGGTTAGGTCCACAGCTCATCCCCATCAGCGTCCCCAGTGCCTACCATTGAAGGCGTTTGCTGAGTGGTGAGCTCACTTTTTCAAAAGAAAATAAACACTTGAAAGACGGGTGTATATTCGGCATCTCCACGCGTTTAATTCCCACTCGCTCTTCCACCTCCTGCAGTCTGTCTCACCGCACCACCTGTCGGGGTGCTCTGCAGGCGGCCGCCTCGGTGACTTTGCCAGGTACGCAGTCCAGGGGCCCTTTTATCAGCCTTCATCATCCCCCGGATCCCTCCCTCCTCCTCCTCCTCCTCCTCCTCCTCTGTCTTCTGGATCCCTGCCCCTTTTTAGTGTGCTTTAAGAGGTTTTCCACCCACTGCCCTCCCGAGTTGTATCCTGCATCTCTTCCTCCTGCTCTCCACTGTCCCCTCCGGTCAGTCACGTTCTCTCTCTGAACATGAACTGTGTGCAGGCTGACCTGTCCCGAATCTAGAGCCTGGCCAGCAGTGGAGCGCCCATGCAGCCCCAACTCAGGACACCTCTGAACACCCGTCCGGACTCCTGCTTTCCCCGCAGTAAAGGCGGCACCAGCCCCAGGCAGAAAGGTCCGGCGTCACGGACTCCTTCCTCTTCCTCATTCCTGACATCCACTGCTAGACAGCCAGGTTGCCCAGTCTTGCTTCTTGTGTCTAGGTCACTCTTGTCACTTTTCACCTGAACTGTGCCAGTGGGTTTTGTCTTCTCCATCCTCCATGCTAAAGTTATTTTTCTAAAGCACAGATCCAAAATACATGTCACATACTTAAAATCATTTGATTGCACCTTAGAACAGAGTCTGCAGTTTCTTAACTTTGACATTTCTGTTAAATAAGAGCACATCTTAAAAGCCCACTTTCTCCAAGAAGCCCTCCCTGATTGCCACACCCCCTCTGCGCTGCCAGAACACATTGTTCATGAGATGCATTCAGAACTTACTGAAAAGTTAGTGCATACCTGTGTCTTCCATGTGGTTATGTGTCTGGGAAACAAAAGGAACACGGTTCATCTTGGCTTTTCAAAGTGGACTCAACAGTAGGTCAGAAGAGGTGCTTACAGGGACCCTAACTGAGAAGATGATTTTAAATTAAGGGTGGTGGAAGTCCTCTGTCTCCAGCAGGCCTTTATAATGTCTCCTCGTCTTTGAGGGTCTCCTTCAAGTTCTTTCATTTTGTCAGTTTACTGTAATCAGAAGCTCTTCAACTGTCCCAGTGCTGCAGCAGTTAGAAAGAAAGAACAGGAGCTCTCCGTTGCAGCACTGTTGCTGAGTGTCCGCTGTGTGCTGGTCACGTCCCGTTCCCTGCCTCAGTCATTCAGCAGTGCCCTGCAGCACACACTGTCCTCGGCCTGGGGGAAGAGCACGGGAAAAAGCAGATAATAATCTCAGCCCTCATGGACTTATTCTTCTGGTGGGGAGTTGAGAGAACTCCTCACCACAAACCTGCACACTGGAGTCACTGCCCTTATTTTGACAGAAGAGCCCTGAAGTTTGGAGAAGTTAAGTCCCCTACTCGGGGCCTGCCCCAGAGCTCACCTGTATCTTGGCCTGTGGGGACGAAGAGGCCAGAGGGACAGAGTGCCTGTGGCCGACTCAGGCTGCTCGTCTGCACTCAGTGTGTGATGACAGTGTAGGAAAGGTTTCCTACAGAAATTCCTCCGACACAGTTCGTGGCCCGAGGCAACCAGCCCTGGCTCCCACCTTCCCCAGGCCCCAGTGGGCATCCCTGAGGGCTGAGGGGTCAACGAATCAGAACGCTGTAAGCCCTTCCCTCCCTGGGCCTAGGTGGTGGGGAGTTCCCTGGCTGGCTGCCTCTGCCTCCTCCCGGTCATACCCTCTGTTCCTCACCTGTGCAAAGGGCACCATCATTTCTCCTGGGATCATCTTGACCCCTCTGCGCCCCACACCCCCAATCTGTGAGTTGGTTGCCTAACCCCCTTGAGTTCAAGTCCTTCACGCTCGCTTCTCTGTCTGCTCTGCCTCAGACTCATGTCACTGCTCCTTCCCACCTCCTGCCATGAGACAGCAGCCTGGGCTGCAGGCCGTTTGGGAACCGGGGGTCCTGCCACCGTGTGATCATCTGTAGCACACAGAGCCGAGGTTTATGCTCCCGAATACTCATATTAAACCCATGCTCGTAGAGTTACGGGTTTAAAAAGGGAAACGTAAAAGTTTCCCTTTTGCAGACAGGGAAACTTGGGTTCAACAGATAGAAATAATAACTTGCCTGAAAAACACGACCAATGAGACCCAGAACCAAGTTCAGTTCACACCTAAGCCAAGTCTAAATTCAAAGTATAAACTTTGTGCCTCAGCTTCCTTTCTTAAAAAGGAAACTGAGGAATGTGGAAAGCAGGAGTGTGATTCAAGGAAACTTGAATCACAATCACACTACGGCTAATTCAGGGAAGGGTGAGTGCTGTGGAGATGAGCTTCCAGGGTGTGACCCGGTGACATTTTCATAGTCAAATCTGGCTGCCTCCTTCCTTCCTGTGGGCTTCTGTGCTGTTTGCCCTTGAGTGTTTCACTGAACAGAACCCTTTTGCAAATAAACCCTAATAGACCCAAACATTGCCAAATTTATAACTCGTAGTGAATTTGCAGAGTTGTTAAACTGAATGTGTTTTCCCTTCTTTATTTTGTGCACCTTAATTACTGGGGAAGGAGTCCGTTAAAACTGAGATCATGGGTTAATTAATCGTCTTGGACTGTAGAATTTTATGGACAACCAGAACGAAAGTAATGGTTGTGTAGGTGCAATTGACTAAACATGGCTTATAAATGTTACAGAAATTCCCATAATTAGTCCCATTGCAGCTATTTAGCTTGGGAATTTTATAGCAGACATAAATTACAAAGGTGAAAAGTGAGAAAAAATTGGAGTTGACATAGTGGCATCTGCAAAAGCTATAATTTGAGAAAATCTGTTATGCATTATTATTAATGATTTTTTCAGTTTCCACAGTCCCCCCTTTTAAAATTTACTCTTTAATGTTGGTTGTTTCCACTGTAATGTAGTGTCTTTCAAGTGTTAGGTGTATAAACACAATTAATACCTTATGAAAATAAGACCGACCACCAGAATCATTTCTGAAAGTACGTAACTGCCAACCGAAGGATGAAGAGACCTATTTGATCACACTCTTCAAAGTCATTCCTGCATATTTTAATAGATTGAAAAGGAAAGTTACGGCTTCTATTTAAATAGTGTTCCCTGTCATTGGATCTTGACACATTTTAACCTACCTGTTAAAACGCAAGTTATAAATAGCTCCTCTTTCAAAGGTGTTCATTATACCCCATTGGCTCTTGCTATAGAAAATGCAAATGTAATTTGAAAAGTGCCCGTTCTGAGTGTGAGCAATTATTTGGTGTGCTCTCCATACCTGGTCCACTGTCAGCACCCAGCCACTCGGCTGGAAAGCAGGTTCGCCTTTGAAATGGAGATCGCCTGGGCTCCTGGCTGGCTGGCTCCCTAGGTAATGAGAGACTGTTTCGCTTTTCCAGGGAAGCAAGCAGCTGTTGAACAACTATCCTGTCTACATAACGAGCAAACAGTGGGACGAGGCTGTAAATTCTTCAAAGAAGGACGGGAGGCGGCTCCTTCGATACCTCATCCGATTTGTTTTCACAACCGATGAGCTTAAGTACTCATGCGGCCTTGGGAAAAGGAAAAGGTCAGTGCAGTCAGGAGAGACAGGTCCTGAAAGACGCCCTCTGGATCCAGTTAAAGTAACATGCCTCCGAGGTACCGCATCCTTCCGCTCAGTGTCGCCATCTGTGATCTCATTTCACCGCATTGGCTGTGGCTCCCGTGCAAGTGTTCAGCCTTTACTGTTTTTTGGTTTTCCCCCACCGAGACCGTGTAGGCTTCGTGTGGCCCATCTCCTTGGTATCGAGAAGTTCTTTCTAAAATTTCTCGTGTGCTTGTAGCCTTGGTGTTCTCACTGAGTGGCACATAAGCATCACCTAGCACCTCATGTTTCACGCTTTAAACTCAGACTTTATACGCCGCCAGCGAAGGCCACCTCCAGCAGAGTGGAGTGTTGGGAGACGCGCCGAGGGAGGGAGAGGTGGGATGTTTTCCACTCATTAGGGAAAGGATGTGGCCGGTTTTCTTTCCCAGCCTGTGGACCGCCCCTCCCCCATCCCATCTACCTTCCTTCTCACGAATATTTGCCTCGAAATCCTAACAGTTCTTTAGTATTCACTTTCCTTAGTGCCTAAAATATTGTCCAGTCAGACTTCATTAGTTTCCAAAAAAAGGTCCCGTATTAAAAATGCTTAGGTTTCATCAGTATTAACAACTGATTGCTTTGCAGCAGAGCCGCACTTAGTGGCCAGGCCAGAGGGTGAGGAGGAGGAGTCAGCAGACACACAGCTCGTGCCGCAGGTGCACAGTGAACACACACAGCTAGGAAGGTCACAGAGCCAGCACATCGTTCACACCTGGAGAAACTCATACCAGAAAGCTCAGCTGTTACCTGTAGGGTTCAATAGTGATTTCACTGGTTGGAGACATTTGATAGTGATTTGCTCTGGACATGGATCAAAACGTTCTCTGGCGAGGAAGTCACATGGAGACAGGCGAACACTGATCAGACCTCAGTTGTCCCAGAAGCCAGTCTCTCTTACACTTTCTCCCGGATGCCCACTGGGGTTTGTGAACAGCTGAGATTTCTCACGCCCACCCGGAGCTCCGGAGCTTCTGACTGGCTGGGCTGGGGTGGGGGCGGGGAGGCACGTGTTGCCGCGCCTCTGGACCGCCCCCGGTGATCTGATGCCCACACTTCAGAAAACCACCCGGAATGAAAACACCCCTAAGGAGTGGGCACAGGTGCTCCAGAGCACCCCGCATTGGCCAGTCCGGAGATTCCACTTGCTCAGAGTGGGTGTGATGGAAATCTTCAGGGTCTTTCTGAGCAAAGTAGCCATGGTGTCCCTTCCTTTTCCATCATCATCAGAGGTGATGGAGTTACTCATCAAGCGCACCAAGGAGGCGAGGGGCCTGGGGGCTCCCCCGAGAGTACTGTCTCTCAGTGGGAACTCCAGAACTTGCCCTGAGGCTTCTAGGGGACTCGGGGTAAGGAGCGTCACAATGGTTTCCCTTTCCAGAAATTCTTATAAATGCTTCACATTTTAACTGGCAAGTTTGTGAGACTGGGGGATTAATATTCATCCCAAAGCACCAGTGCCGCTTTCCACTTTGTCCCCAAAGCCAGGCCCTCCGTGACGCTGCTGCAGCCCAGGCTCGCTGCCCAGACTCTGCCTCCTTCAGCTCATGCCTGCCTGGGGGCCGTGACCCACAGGCTTCGCCTGGAGAATACACGGGCAAGAAATGGTGACAACCTGTGTCCAGGGCAGCTGTTAGAGCATTTCCATGTCTGTCCCAAAGCCGAAATCCTGGGGCTTTCCTGTGACCTACATAGGATTTCTTCCCTAAAGGCTTAGGCCTGGTGACTCCCACAGTGGGTGTCCTTGTTTTGAGCCAGATTACAGTGGCCAGAGGAAGCCTCAGACCTTGGACACTTTGGGGAATAGAATCAAATCCTGGGCCGACCTGCTCCCGAAGGTGCCCTGAGGGAAGAGGACCTGTGAGAACAGAATGAGCTCTACTTTCAGCTCTGAGTTGGCTGTCACAGTGTTAGGGAAAGTCCGGTCACAGCAGTGGATGCTAAGGAGGGGGAGGTGCCCCAGAGCAGCACCCGCTCCCCGAGTGCCAGCTTGCAGTGTCCTGTCCATCAGCCTTTTTTCCCCTCATTGAGTCGTTGAGTCTCCCAGTGCCTCGTGCTCCTGTGAGAGGGGGTGTGGACAGAGACAGGTAAATCACTAAAACAGGTGCCGAGTACTTACTGAATACAGCGGGGACTCGAGGGGGTCAGAAGAGGAGCAGGAAGGAATCAGCTTCAGTAGCTGATAGTCTGGCTGGAGGTGATTGGAGGGGACTTGTGAAGAGCTGAGAACACAGGTGAAGTAATAGGAAGTGTCCATCTTTGGGCCCTTGAGGGCCCAGAATATCTCCTTTCTGTCTGCCCAGCAGTATAATGACGGTTACCCAGGCTGGAGAATTACCTGCATAGCTCCTAGGCTTGCTCCCCACCATCAGGTTCATGGCAGTTTGGCAGAGTGAGGAGCTGAAGAAGCAGTGCTTTCCCCAGGGAAGGCCACCGGGGCTGGTACTCGGGGGAGGCAAGCGAGTCTCTCACCTCAGGCACAGAGTCAAAGGGGGTGCCCTGCTTCTCTGAGACTGTACAGTGATGGGCACAGTTTCATTCATGAGATTTCTCTGGTCCGGGTCCTTGAAAGCATTCGCTTCTCCCAAGGGCTGGTAGAGCATGCATTTCGCAAAGACACTGCAGACAAATCCAGTCATACAGTCAGAACTGTTGTCTTGTGGGGGGGGGGGGTCACTGCTGGAGAAAGTGGTGTGTAAATAGTAGTCATCCTGAACTCAGCCAGCTGTGCAAAAAACACAGGCTGACTTAGAACCTTTCCTCAAGTGTTCACCTCATTGCACAACTGTTCTATTAAAAGAGCTACGTAGGAATGCGGCATGTGCCCTCGGGCCTGAGCAGACACAGGACGGGTTGAGGGTTGATGTTTCATAGGAGTCTTCATTACTTTTTATATAGTCACGCTCCCAGGTCTGCTCATTGCTTTCTGGTGAAGTTAAATATTTAGAGGACATTTCATCTTAAAAACATTTGTTAATGCATATATAGACACCACAAGTACAGAAAAGAAGTGTAGCCTGTAATATAAGATCTCAAGAATGTGCAAACCTTCTGTACTAAAATTTAGGCCATTCCTCACTTGTTGAGATTTTGACATTTTTTGCACTTAATCTACAAATCAGTAGCTGGTTGAAGAATACCACGTGAATGGTACTTGCTGTGTTCTGGAGATAGTTAACGTTTTAAAACTGTGTGGCAGTGACGACAGGGAGGGGTTTTGACTGCCAAGCAGGGCATCAACCCTGTCTTGCGAATCAGGTGTTCCCTGATTCCAGTAGCAAGTGTTCCTTAGAAGGATCTCCCACCCACTAGCGTGATGCTTACTCTTGCACACGAGTAGAAAGTAGGTTTGAAACGTTGGGTCTAATAGTGGCATCATCATGGCATTACATTGGAGTTCTCATGAAGCTTTTCTTACAGTGCTTCTGTTAACGTTTAAGCTGTCTCTCCTACCATCTTCTGCAAAAACCAGCTGTTTTTCCTCTCTTTTTTTATTGTCTCATGTATTCCTGCAGAATTCATTAGGATGCACTGCACCTCCAACCCCGACTGGTGGATGCCCTCGGAGGAGCAGATCAACAAGGTGTTCAGCGACGCCGTAGGCCATGCCCGGCAGGGGCGCGCGGTGGGGACATTCCTGCACAACGGGGGCTCGTTTTACGAAGGGGTCGATCCGCAGGCTGCCCAGGATGAGGTCTTCAACAAGAATTCCCAGGATGGGTCTGCGGATTAGCGGATAAAGCTTCTCCACGATAGCCACTGGTCCTCCCAAGAGTTCCCATTGCGAACATTCTGTTCCCGTGACTTTAGAGTCCAAAGCACCGCATTCTGTCACACATCCTAAATCTGAACTCTCCCAACCTAGTGACACACTTCCCAAACAGAAATCCATTTTAGGGTCATTTGGGAAGTCGGTGGAGCCTACCACAGATTTTCAGAGTATTATAGAAAAGAAAAAGCTACAGTTGATTTTGAAAGATTACTACTAGCTAGATGATGAGGGTGGAAAACAAAAAGATAGGCAGACTCCTAGACTCCTGTCTGAAATCAAGTGAACTCTGCTTCCTGAGCAGAGCTGGACCCGTGGGGACCACTTAAAAGGGACAAGGGGTGAGCATTCCCTTACTTTCACTACCCTAATCTCGATGTTTTCCGAAGACGTGAAGTCATACTTCTCAGCAGAGACACAGGACAGGTGAGATCATGTGCTGTGTCTGTGCTGATAGAGCCTGTTACTAACTAGAAACCAGAGAACAGACCACCTCTAGAAAGTGGTTAATGGGAAGTCAGCTGTTATTTCTCAGTTATTTTTACCAAAAAAATCCTACCGTGTGGATCAGGAAGACTCTGTGTGATCTCAGGAGTTTACAAGCAGTAATAGTTTCCATTATGTCAGTCAAGAAACATCCAAAGAACCTAAGCCATCATTCAGTGCTTGATTTTGTAGGCTCATAGATCCACAGTCCCGTAACCTTAAATCTGGCTTTACTGACACAGTGCCAAAGTGATGGGTTAAACAGACTCTCCATCAGTTAGTGTGGGGCACTGAAGGCCACACAAGTGGTGTGACTGATATGCTCACTGAATTGACCAGACGTTCTGGAATTGTGTACACATGGCTACGGGACCATTCTGACAACTATGCAATGGGCTTGTCTGTAATGTCTCTGAAATCTGAGGGTCTTTCTGTGCTCAGCTGGTCTTTAACATTTGCACAAAGCTTCTGTTTCTCATTGCCACTGATGAAAATGTTTCACCCCACTGTGTGCCTGCTTCCCCCAGTCCCCTCAGCTGCAAGCACTGGCTAGGTCACCATCTACTCTCCCTGGTTTCATTTGTTGAGTTCCATCTGTGAAGTCAGTAGTGTCTTCAGAACCACTTCCTGTTTGCAATGCTTCAGAGATGCTGGACTCTACTTCCAAGGGCTCCAGGTTTAGACAGCAGGAGAGTCTCTTACCAGACTAATCCACATCACTACGCCCTTCGTAAGGAAAGGGCTAAGTTGGCAGCATTGACTGAAGGCTGTTAATGTCGTCTATAGACATAACTAAGGATTTTGAAAATTGATTGGAAATTCATTTAAAGTTTATGAGCATCCATTTATATAGTGCTCTTTTTTGCCATTTTTTCAAAGTAAATAAATTGTCCTTTATGTTCAATAATTAGCACCAACTATATGCACAGGCCTAGTTTAGCATTTATAGAGATGGTCACTTACGAGATCTGTTAAATGATGTGGGGAAATTGAATAGTTTGGTCTTATTTGGGACCAGTTAGCTAAAATTCCCAGGCGTTTTTTTTTTCTTTAAGAAATAAAAGGGCAGATGTGATGTTGCTTATGAGAACTATAAGACTAATATCTTTGGCTATCCAGGGAAAAAGATAACTTCTTGAAGAGATTTAGAGGTCTAGGAAATTGATATATTGTAAGATTTTTTTGGTGGCATGAAATCTGGGCCAGAAGAAAAATACCACCGTAATCTCATCTGTCGATCCATTTTACATTTTTTGTCTTTTTGTTTGTTTTGCATTGGGCTTTAATTTTCTATACTGCTGAGGACCTATCTTTTTTGTATAGCAGCAATATTTGACCACTGCTTTTAAGAACCAAAAAGAAAAAGCCTTTCAGCTCTTACGGTTTTCCTGTAATCTTGAACATTCCACACATCTTCACATCTCAGCGCATCTTGGTCTGAGTCCGTCTGTGTTGCTCGGGGTCTTCGCCGAGGGCAGCCAACCCTTCGGTGATATGTGTTGGGGGACATAGGCCAGGAACCTGTGGGGGGAGCCTAGGGTCTGTGAGCAGTTTCTGGCCATCTCCGGGAAGCTGCACTGTTCAGGAAACTCACAGCTAACCCCAGTGCTGAGTGCTTTGGAGATACCATCCTTACTTGAAAGTTTTTCATCCAGCCCTTGAACCTGCCGTCACTGGCGTGTTCCTCATTTCTGCCATGGCATTCAGGTTGTTGTGTGTTCTGAGGCTTCACTAGGAATGTAGAGGGTAAGATTAGAGCATGTAATTGTCCTCATCTCCTTTGGTAGGGAATTGAGACAGACATGTAGCTACTTCACAGCTATAGAGCAAGAGGGTGATTTCATATTCTGGGTCTTTCTTAGCCCTCCCTAAATCATAAAACGTTGACCTAAGAGATTTCTGCATTAGGATTATAGGGAAATAGAAATTATTATGATATACTTGACTACTACATCTGTTTAATGTCAATAGCATGGTTTTTTCATCCTAGTAACTATTTCTGTATTATCAGATGTTTTACCCAAAATCTGGGCCATCCTCCAAACTCGGGAATCTACAAGTTCATGATTTCTACAATTTTTCTGCCACCTGTAATGGCTTCTCCCCCCTTCTGTTGCTGTGGGAATACAGAGGGAGCACCCGATGAGATGAGGCGCGCACTGTTTTCAGAAAAGCAAACAGCATTGCCTTCGTTTGGATTCTGCCATTTATCGTGTCCTCTAGAACCAACCCTAATCCCACTGGCTACCTCCTTCATTTTTTCTTAGATTGCGAACATTTGAAAAATCTCATCCTTGGGTAACTGCATTTTTAGAAAAGATTTAGTTGTGTAACTTTTCCTCAGTCAGTGCTGTGTCATTTCACAGAACCGAGAAGTGTGGTTTTTGACAGCTCATACACAGATTTTTAGAAACGTAATAGAAAATGGCTTTTGCACATATGGTGCAAGTCTGGATGATGTCTGTTTAATGTGGCAACACTCACCCAGAACTGCGCGGCAAAACATGTCAGATGGGAGGCTCGAGTCAGAGCTCCAGTGCCAATGTGTCTAAACAGTGTGCGTGTCGCTGTGATATATTTTTGTAAACACGGTGATGGCTTCTTTCAGTGGTGTGAGTGCTGGATAAAAATAAACACTCCACTTGGAATAATTAGGGAAATGTCACCCAGCTGAGGGCCCTGTGCAACATCATTAGCACTGTCAGCCAATGGCCTTTATTCTTTTACTCATGGTGTTTTTTAGAGGAGAGGGAAGAATTGGTACCAGACAACATGGGGTACAAAAATAACAACCCCTCGGCATTTGCCTCCTACTGTGTAAAATTCAAAGCTGTAACTGACACGTTTGCACACGAGACCTCACTTACATCCAGTTGTAAGAAATACTGAGTGGACTGGACTGCGCTCATCTGATGCTAGCTTGATCAGCTTGGCTACTGAAACCACTAAATTAGCAACATTTGTGGTAAAGGGACCAGATTAATTTTCCTCGTGACCATGCATAGCTGGCTAATACAAGGACTAGGTTTTCATTGAATCACAATTCCCCACATCACCATGAAAATACATCTGCTAATGAACAAAAACCTGTTCATTCTCAGAATAACTGCACCCAGCGGCCATGTGAGTCTTGACGGTGCTGGGAAACCCTTTCTGCCCATCCAAAACCACTGCCAACGGCAGCAGTGACAATGACTGCTTTCCATTGAGTCCTGTGCCAGGTGCTTGCTAACGCTCTACAACCACTTTCTAAGGCTGTTACCACTGATGATCCCCATTTCACTGATACGGACGCAGCCCAAGGTACTGGCTAATAAAAGGATGGACTTGGGCTCAGGAAGCTTAATGACTCGTTCAGTTTTCCCCACAAAGTGAAGTTCTCAAAAGCCCATTAATACGTTGGAAGAGGTTTGTGGTTTTACTTATGCCATTGAGGGAAAGTTGATATTTGTGTTATTAAAAACTGCTTTTAATGTATGTTGCCGCTTAAGTAGGAGCAGATAAACCACATATCCTCGGGGAACTGCTGAGGCTTCTGCTGTAGGCTTCACAGAACAAGATCCAGTGAGGAAGAGTAAAAAGTCTTTTGCAGTGAGTAAACTAAAACCAGTTATTCGTTCAGATTTATTTTATAGATTCCCAGTATAAAAATGCAGGGTTACAAAAGCAAAAATGTCCACTGAGTGAAGTGATATTTTGGGGAACTCCTGGATGTTAGAAAGGGCGTCAGTCAGCCAGTGTCCCGCGCCTTTTCACATTGGCTGTAGCCTAGAATCGAGGCATCTGCTTTGGAAGAGAGGGTTTTCATTTTTGGTGTCACTGTGAAAACTTGTGAAGAGTTTGTAGGAAAATACAGTGATCTGTTGATTCTTTCCTGTAGTCGTGGCTTTAACATCTCTGGCTGTGTTAAGTTCAAGAGCATGCCAAGGCCATGAGGGCCTAGCTTGTGTTTCTTTGGAACAGGGCATGCCGAAACCGAGAGATGGGTCCCGAAACTCGCCAGGTCGCTGGCCCGCCTGACCCTGCCCACTCTGAGCATTGCCTTTCTGCCTCTTCTCTGGAACTTCATGTAGCAGCCTGACCCTGGGGCCAACTTGCCTTTACTCTATTTTCTATAATGAACATTCATGGGGAAACTGTGACAAATCCATTGACCCTGATATTTTTATTGTTGGAGTCTTGTTGAATCCTCTAGGAATAATTTCTATTTGATTGTACTGTGTAGAGTTGATACCCACTAGAGATATGTTAATAAGACTATAATATAAATGCATAGTGTAATATAGAATAGCAAGATTTTTTTGTGAACAATTTATATAGAAGAGTAAGTTGTTTTTTAAGTGTTAGGCACATTTCTTTTAGGAACTTAAAATGTTATAAGAGTTTTTTAAGCATTCAATATTTTTAATTATAAGAAACATTTGTTACTAGAGCTGATTATTTCAGGTGTTCCAACTGGAGTATTGATTTATTACCTCATATACCTCTAGGATGGTGCGTGTTCTGTTGGAGATAAAATTGCACAATAAATGTCGAGTCTGTTTCGTGCTTTCACTTGCTTTGTTGCATCTTCCTCTACTTCTTTGAAGATACTTTTCGGGGGGTTGTTTGTTTTTTGGAAAAGGGAACGTTTTTCTCCCTCACGCTAAGGCTTTTCTCCTTGTCTCCAAATGCCGAGAAAATGGTATGTGCTTAATACCCAATTAAAAGCCACTCGTGTGTCCGGGGACTGGCCAAAAGTCATGCAAGAGATTCACTTGATCTAGTAAATGGAAGGGACGACCCGCGATGGCTCGGGAGCAGCATGAAATCCAAGATTCCCACCCGGCATTTGGTGCAGTCCCGCTGCGAACACATGCGTCCCGCTCACGGTGCCATTGGTCAGGGAGGGAGACCCTGCAGCGCCACCCTTGACCTTCAACAATGAACGAATGGTGGTTCACGGCTTCTGGACAGTGAACTGAGTGCGAGCGCCTCGTAGCTGTGGCTCAGGTGGCAGGGTTGTGGCTTTGCACTTGTCCTTAGTGTATAAAATATAAATCTGACCTACAGACCCTATAAAACAGCATCTAAGAATCATTTCACAAATCAGACTTAAAACTAAAATGAAACATTTCATTTTAGAGAAAAGGAAGACGTTTTATTTTTGCACTAGAAGATCTAGTGTTTTAACTGGGGGTTTTGAATGAAAGGGCAAGCAGGAATTTAATCCGAATAATCTGGGTTCAATTGAGATCTCCTGTTTTATTTTAAAACAGTAAAAGGATTAAGTGACCTGGGTTTTTTAATGTTTTGTAGCAGGACACGCAAGGTAAAGCTACAGTCCAAAAAGTATGAGGCCCTGGCTGGTGTGGCTCACTTGGTTAGAGTGGCATCCCATAAACTGAAAGGTCGCTGGTTCGATTCCTGCTCAGAGCACAGGTCTAAGGTTTAGCTCCCCAATCTGGGCAGGTGTGAGAGGCAGCCAATAGATGTTTCTGACATCTTGTTTCCCTCCCTTCCCCTCTCTAAAATCAACAAAAATCCTCAGGTGAGGGTTTTAAAGAAAAAGGTATTAGGAACAAGCTCTGCAAGAGCAATATACAAAAATCAGTTGTATTTCTGTGCACTAGCAAATCTGAAAATGAAGTTAAGAAAACTTTCATTTTCAGTAACGTCAGAAAGAATTAAATCCTGAGGAATAAGTATTTCACAGTGTTCAAATCTGGCGTTTGAACACTGTGAAAACTATAACACATTGTTAGAAGAAATTTTACAATACCTAGAAATAATGGCAAGACTGGCAAGACATCCCATGGTAATGGAGTGGAAGGATTAATACTGTTAAGACGGTGATACTCCCCATATTGATCGACAGGTGTATAGCCGTTCCTATGCACGTATCGGCTGGCTTCTCTACAAATTGGCAGGCTGATCCTGAAATTCACATGAAAATGCAAGGGACCCAGATGGCCAACAAAAATAAATCCTTACATTTGCAGTCAATGGATTTTTAACAAGGGTGCCCAGACAACTCGATAGAGAAAGAATAGTCTTTTTTAACAAACACTGTTGGGACCACAAAATAGCCACATCCAAAAGAATGAACTTGGTCCCCTGCCTCATACAATGCACAAAAATAACTCAAAATAGAATACAGACCTAAATGGAAGATCTTACATAATAAAACTTATGGTAAAAAAAAAAAGAGACTACATCATGATCTTGGATTAGGCAATGGTTTATTCAATACGATGCCCAAAAGCACAGGTTACAAAACAATAGGTAAGTTAGACTTCATCTAAATGACAAACTCGTGCTTCGAAGAACACAAAAATATAACCCACAGAAGGAGAGAAAAGATTTGTCAGTCAGATATCTGACAAGAGACTTGAAGCTGGCATACAGAGATCTTTCTTTTACAACTTGCCAATTAAAAGTGGTCAAGTAATCTGAATATACATTTTTCGGGGAAGAGAAGATGAGTGGCCAACGAGCACATGAAAAGATGCCCAACATCATTAGGCATTAGAGGAATGCAAATCAAACTACCGGGAAGTACCACTTCGCCAGGATGGCTGAAATGAAAAAGACACAATAGCAAATGCTGACTGCAACGTGGAGATGGAAACGTTCATACATTGCTGGTGGGAATGTAAACTAGTACCGTCACTTTGAAAAACAGTTTGGGGTAGACTTTCCGACTTCCGCCAAGATGGAGGATTAAGGTGGATGTGCCTGCCTCCTCTCACAACCAAGTTTAAGGACAACTAAATATTAGCATCAGAAAACACAACCAGAACACGGAAAACTGAACTTTTCGGAAGTCCGCAAACAGCAAATTCTCCGGCCCGGCCGGTAAGAGGCAAACCGGCGGCGGCGGGTGGAGGAGTTACAAAGGAGAACTCGTTCGACCCGGGCGCGGGCGCGGGACCCAGACGCGCGACTTTTCGGAAGTCCGCAAACAGCAAATTCTCCGGCCCGGCCGGTAAGAGGCAAACCGGCGGCGGCGGGTTGAGGAGTTACAAAGGAGAACTTGTTCGACCCGGGCGCGGGCGCGGAACCCAGACGCGCGAATCCAGACGCACGGGTTCCAAACCCAGGATTGGACCTAGTGAGCAGCCCACCGGGTGAGTGACTACGGAGGAGTCAGTGGGGAGGTGGTGGCAGCGAGTTGACTGTGGGTGCCCGGTTACGCGCGGGTGAGGGAGTGAGCGGGGACCGCGGCGGCGCCATTTCCCCCCCTCTGACCACGCCCCCCACATACAGCGTCACAACCAAGCGACCTGGGACTCCAAGGCGCCGCTTCTCTCACTTAAAGGGCCAGAACAGACCAAAAATGTCGCAGGGGGACCTCAAAGTCCCGGAGATAAATCTAAGTGACGAAGAAATAGCAAATCTCTCAGACGCACAGTTTAAAACACTGGTCGTCAGCTTCCTCACAGATCTGGTGGACTATAGCCACAAATTAGAGAAACATATGAAGGCTAAATTAAGGGAAATGAATGGAATTCCACAGGAAACCCATAGAGATGAAAAAAAACTGGGACTCAACTCAATGGAGTAAACCAGAAGGAAGAAAAAAATGATCAATCAGAAAGGAATGAAGAAATAAGAATTCAGAAAAATGAGGAGAAGCTTAGGAACTTCCAGGACATCTATAAACGCTCCAATATCCGAATTATAGGGGTACCAGAAGGGGGGAAAGACACAACCACCAGTGGAAAAACTATTTGAACAAATAATAAAAGAAAATTTCCCCAATCTGGCAAAGGAAACAGACTTCCAAGAAATCCAAGAAGCCCAGAGAGTACCAAAAAGTTGGACTCAAGAAGGAACACACCAAGGCATATCATAATTACGTTAGCCAAAATTAAAACGAAGGAGAGAATCCTGGAAGCAGCAAGAGCTAAGGGGACAATCACCTACAAAGGAGTCCCCATCAGGCTGTCAGCAGATTTCTCAAAAGAGACCTTACAGGCAAGAAGGGGCTGGAAAGAAATATTCCAAGTCATGAAAACTAAAGACCTACAACCAAGATTGCTCTACCCAGCAAAACTTTCATTTAGAACGGAAGGACAGATAAGGTGCTTCTCAGATAAGACCAAATTCAAGGAGTTCATCATCACCAAGCCCTTATTATATGAAATGTTAAAGGGACTTATCTAAGAAAAAGAAGTTAAAGAAACATGAACAGTGAAAGGACAACAAGCTCACAGTTATCAACAACCACACCTAAAACGAAAGCAAACTAAAAGGACAGCTAGATCAGGAGTGGAAACATAGAAATGAAGAGCTCAAGTAGGGTTAGCAACAGGGGAGTGGGAGTAGAAGACGGGGAGAGAAGGTACAGAAAACAAGTAGCATAGACAGTAGATAGAAAATAGATGGGGGGGGCAAGAATAGTATGGGAAATACAGAACCTAAAGGACTTGAGACACATGGACATAAGCTAAAGGGGGGGTAATCGGGGGGTTGGGGGGGCAGGGTGGAGGGGAATGAAGGGGGGAATAGAACAACTGTAACAGCATAAACAATTCAAAAAAAAAAAAAAAAAAAAACAGTTTGGCAGTTCCTTAAAATATGAAATATAGTGTTACCATTTGACCCAGCGATTCCACTCCTAAGTATAGAACGAAGAGAACTGAAAACATGTCTACCCAAAAGTGTACACAGATGTGGCCCCGGCCAGGCTGCTCTGTTGGTTAGAGTTGTCCTCAGCCTGTCAAGGCTGAGGGTCTCGTGCCTGATCGGGGCACATGCAAGAATCAACCAATGAATGCATTAAAAAAAAAATGGAACAAACCTTTCTCCCCCGCCTCCAAAAATTAAATTTTTTTAAGTATCCATTAATCCATGAATGGATAAACAAAATGTATATCCACACAGTCACATTTTATCTAGTTATAAAAAAGGATTGAAATACTAATGCACACTACATGGAGGAATCTTGAAAACATTATGCCAACTGAAAGCAGCCGGACAAAAAAGGCCACCACGTATCTCATGGTCCCATTTATATAAAGTATCCAATAGTCAAAAACAGGCCAGTTTCTCTTAGAGAATGCTGCTCAGTACACAGTTTACATAATTAAGGAACCAGATGTATTATGATGTAGTCCCTTTACAGTTGATTTCCCATTTCTGTAGTATATTTACTGAGAGCCGGATATGCTTGGCACTGTATAAGGTACCATCTCCCAAGAACCAAAGTAATAGAGCCAATAGCTTGGTACCTATTTGAAGAAAAATAACAAAGACCTATTATAGGAAAATCCAGCCGTAGTTGGTGCGGCTCAGTGGTTGAGCACTGACCTGCAATTCAGGGGGTCTCCGGTTCAATTCCCAGGCAGGGCACATGCCTGGGTTGCTGGCCAGGTTCCCAGTGGGGGGGCACATGAGAGACAACTACACATTGATGTTTCTGTCCCTCTCTTTATCCCTCCCTTCCCCTCTCTAAAAAAATAAAATCTTAAAAAAAAAAAAAGAAAAATTCCAGCTTCCACTGAGGAACTTGTTACCCCAAATAAAGTTGTGAAATTCAAAAAGCTATATGCATCAGGCATAAAATAAAAGAAGGTAAGTACCACTGAGTCTGTCTCTGTCACACCGAGGGACTTGAACCTGACCATCTCAGCCAACAGGCATGCCAGTTCAGGGAATGCATTATCCATGCGTGATTTTGTGTGCTCACAAATCCTGGTTCAACCTTTTTTCCCCTTTCCCTTTTCTCTCCTCTGCTTAGCGGAGGCTCAGACCTCACAGAGACATTGTCAGTGATACACAGCTGGTGTTTCAGCCCTTCTGTCAGGAGCACAGTTGATACAAAGATGTGGGCCCGGTGGACTGAAACTGCAGCGGCAGGGTGCTGTCAGCCTGAAGGGGTGAGGTGAGTGACAGGCTGGTGGCGCAGCAATTAGAGAGGAAATGTGATCTTCCAGCGGAGCCTGCAGGGAGGGAGCTGGGGACTCGACACCCTGACCCCGCCCCACTTCCCCCTGCTCTTCTCTGACGTGCCACTCTAGCTGAGAGCCACCCGAAACCAGAAAGAAGGGGAACGCATTGAGGTCCCTACAGGTCAGCCCCCCAGGGCATGAGCAAGGCGCAGAAGGGATAAAGGGAAGACAGTAGACACAATCCCTAACGGAGATGAGTCAGGCAGTTCAGAGGTCTCTTTGGTTCCACCTCGTTGAAATCTAGAGCGTTAACTTCTTTACATAAATGACTTCTTAATTCTTAATAATTTGAATAGCTAACGCATTAAGTCAGTAGGTAAGTGCTTTATTATCATTATTGCATAGAATCTTATTATGTAAACTGTAATATTATCCCCACTCTAAAGGTGAGCACACTGATGCTTAGAGGCATGTTCCCAAAGTCACAGAGCTGGTGGTGGTGCAGCCGGGAGGCTGACCCGGGTGAGCCAACTCTAGGTGAGAAGCCCGTGTTTTACCTCCAGTAAAAGTGATTTTCTAAGGTAGTGTCTCTAAGACTTTCAAGACAGAAAAAAGTTGCAATGATGAGGCTGACAAAACAGTAACTACCTACTAAGACTACCCACTGTATATATAACTGTCAATTTGGTTTTTGAATCACTGCTCAAAAGTTCTGGAAAAAACTCCTCGATGAACACTGGTGCAACCCTGGGTCCCCAGTGAGTCTTGGTTCTGACTGATTCTGACTCCGTCCCAGGGCTTCACAGAGACACAGACTCCATGCCTCTGCCAACAGTCCTCCGTACTCACTGGTCCTGCTTTGAAGAAACACGCTCCTGAATGAATGAACGAGGCCCCAGGCCAGGTATCATCCCGATACACCAAGGCTGCAGGTTTGATCCTCCTCGGTCAGGGCACATACAAGAAGCAACTGAGGAATGCATAAATAAGTGGAACAACAAATTGATGTTTTCTCTCTCTCGCTCTCAAATATCAATAATTTTTTAATTAAAAATAATGAAGTTGGATAAAATAGAATACCTTGGTCATTGTACTTACCAATTGTCAAATCTTAATAAATTTGGTTCAATTACTTTTTAAAGATTTTATTTATTTGCTTTTAGAGAGGAAGGGAGGAAGAAAGAGAGGGAGAGAAACATCAATGTGTGGGTGCCTCTCATGTGCCCCCTACTGAGGACCTGGCCTGCAAGCGAGGCATGTGGAATTGAACCAGCGACCCTGTGGTTCACAGGCTGGTGCTCAATCCTCTGAGCCACACTAGCCAGGTTTATAAACATTGCTTTAATGAAGTATATAATCCTGGTGAGAAGTATAAAGGAAGCCATTCCTTTGAAGTGTCATTAATAATTGAGAAGTTATGTATAGAAAGAATTTACAAATCTAATTCAACAGGCAGTTACCATCACTTATGGAAAAGTAAGGCCCAGCACCTTCTAGTAACTTGCTCACTTTACACACTTATTATCGGTGCCCTAACAAATATCAAAATAATGCAGTCCCCTAGGGCCATGAGGTTTTCACAACCACTTGTCCAAATTTCTTACTGTTGTCCCTTTTTCCCTTGGTTGCCAGGAAACTCAGTGTTAAGTTCTATCTCAATTGATGCTTCCATCAACCATCACTTTCTTGTCCTTGCATTTATCTTGTAAAGTTTCTTGTAAGTGCTTTATTATTATTATAAGCTGTCTATTTCTACCTGGAAGCAGGTACGTACATTAAAATGCTTCCTGGAACATATCTGGTGTAAAAGGTAGCCTGAGAAAGAAGACATCTCCTCCGCCCCTCTCTGCCACCTGCTCCCCCTTCCCCACACCAACAAAAACATTCCAAGTTGTTTGTTCCAGCTGACACACCTGGAGTCTGTCTTCACAACCGTGCTGTCGCTTCCCCTCCAGGGCTCTGTCCCTTCGTTGTCTACAATGAGGATAAAAATCTGATGGATAAGGGAGTGAGGCTCTTGCCCAGAGGAAAGGACAGGAGGTGACAGGGCACCTGACCGCTCCCTCTCTGGGGTCCCAGATGGGAGCCGTTGGGCAGAGCAACTCTGAACCTGTATCCTTGTCTGACTGGGTTCAAAGGGGATATAATCTGAGAGAAGTGACTATGGCTTTAAATTACACAGGTCTCAGTAACTTGTTACCGCAGCATAACTTAGTCTGCATTGGTCATTCACT